ACTGCATGTGTGATGTTGTCTGAATCCTGTACTGCATGTGTGATATTGTCTGCATCCTGTACTGCATATGTGATATTGTCTGAATCATGAACTGCATGTGTGATATTGTCTGCATCCTATCCTGCATGTGTGATATTGTCTGAATCCTGTACTGCATGTGTGATGTTGTCTGAATCCTGTACTGTATGAGTGATATTGTCTGAATCCTGTACTACATGTGTGGTGTCTGAATCCTGCACTGCATGTGTGATGTCTGAATCATGCACTGCATGTGTGATGTCTGAATCATGCACTGCATGTGTGATGTTGTCTGAATCATGCACTGCATGTGTGATGTTGTCTGAATCCTGTACTGCATGTGTGATGTCTCAATCCTGTACTGAATGTGTGATGTTGTCTGAATCCTGTACTGCATGAGTGATATTGTCTGAATCCTGTACTACATGTGTGGTGTCTGAATCCTGCACTGCATGTGTGATGTCTGAATCATGCACTGCATGTGTGATGTCTGAATCATGCACTGCATGTGTGATGTTGTCTGAATCATGCACTGCATGTGTGATGTTGTCTGAATCCTGTACTGCATGAGTGATATTGTCTGAATCCTGTACTGCATGTGTGATGTCTGAACCCTGTACTGCATGTGTGATGTTTGAATCCTGTACTGTGTGTGTGATATTGTCTGAATCCTGTACTGCATGAGTGATATTGTCTGAATCCTTTACTACATGTGTGATGTCTGAACCCTGTACTGCGTGTGAGATGTCTGAATCCTGTACTGCATGTGTGATGTCTGAATCATGTACTGTGTGTGTGATATTGCCTGAATCCTGTACTGCGTGTGAGATGTCTGAATCCTGTACTGCATGTGTGATGTTGTCTGAATCATGCACTGCATGTGTGATGTTGTCTGAATCCTGTACTGCATGAGTGATATTGTCTGAATCCTGTACTGCATGTGTGGTGTCTGAATCCTGTACTGTGTGTGTGATGTTGTCTGAATCCTGTACTGCATGTGTGGTGTCTGAATCCTGTACTGTGTGTGTGAGATGTCTGAATCCTGTACTGCATGTGTGATGTCTGAATCCTGTACTGCATGTGTGATGTCTGAATCCTGTACTGCATGTGTGATGTCTGAATCCTGTAACTGTGCTGTGATGATGTGTGTGATGTACCTGCATGTGTGATGTTGTCTGAATGTGAGTGTGATGTTGTCTGAATCCTGTACTGTGTGTGTTGTCTGAATCCTGTACTGTGTGTGTGATAATTGTCTGAATCCTGTACTGCATGTGATGTCTGAATCCTGTACTGCATGTGTGGAGCGTTGTCTGAATCCTGTGCTGTCGTGTGTGAATCCTGTGCTGTCTGAATCCTGTCCTGTACTGTGTGTGTGATGTTGTCTGAATCATGTACTGTGTGTGTGATATTGTCTGAATCCTGTACTGCATGAGTGGTGTCTGAATCATGTACTGTGTGTGTGACGTTGTCTGAATCCTGTACTGCATGTGTGATGTCTGAATCCTGTACTGCATGTGTGGTGTCTGAATCCTGTACTGTGTGTGTGATGTTGTCTGAATCCTGTACTGTGTGTGTGAGATGTCTGAATCCTGTACTGCATGTGTGATGTCTGAATCCTGTGCTGCATGTGTGATGTCTGAATCCTGTACTGCATGTGTGATGTCTGAATCCTGTACTGTGTGTGTGATGTTGTCTGAATCCTGTACTGTGTGTGATGTTGTCTGAATCCTGTACTGCATGAGTGATATTGTCTGAATCCTCTGTACTACATGTGTGATGTCTGAATCCTGTACTGCATGTGTTGGTGTCTGAATCCTGTACTGCATGAGTGATATTGTCTGAATCCTGTACTACATGTGTGATGTCTGAATCCTGTACTGTGTGTGTGATGTTGTCTGAATCCTGTACTGCATGTGGTGTCTGAATCCTGTACTGCATGTGTGATGTCTGAATTTGTCTGCATGTGTGATCCTGAATCCTGTACTGCATGTGTGATGTCTGAATCCTGTACTGCATGTGTGATGTCTGAATCCTGTACTACAAGTGTGATGTCTGAATCCTGTACTGCATGTGTGATGTCTGAATCCTGTACTGCATGTGTGATGTCTGAATCCTGTACTGCATGTGTGATGTCTGAATCCTGTACTGCATGTGTGATGTCTGAATCCTGTACTGCATGTGTGATGTCTGAATCCTGTACTGTGTGTGTGATGTTGTCTGAATCCTGTACTGCATGTGTGGTGTCTGAATCCTGTGCTGTCTGTGTAATGTTGTCTGAATCCTGTACTGTGTGTGTGATGTTGTCTGAATCATGTACTGTGTGTGTGATATTGTCTGAATCCTGTACTGCATGAGTGGTGTCTGAATCATGTACTGTGTGTGTGACGTTGTCTGAATCCTGTACTGCATGTGTGATGTCTGAATCCTGTACTGCATGTGTGGTGTCTGAATCCTGTACTGTGTGTGTGATGTTGTCTGAATCCTGTACTGTGTGTGTGAGATGTCTGAATCCTGTACTGCATGTGTGATGTCTGAATCCTGTGCTGCATGTGTGATGTCTGAATCCTGTACTGCATGTGTGATGTCTGAATCCTGTACTGTGTGTGTGATGTTGTCTGAATCCTGTACTGTGTGTGATGTTGTCTGAATCCTGTACTGCATGAGTGATATTGTCTGAATCCTGTACTACATGTGTGATGTCTGAATCCTGTACTGCATGTGTTATGTCTGAATCCTGTACTGCATGAGTGATATTGTCTGAATCCTGTACTACATGTGTGATGTTGTCTGAATCCTGTACTGCATGTGTGATATTGTCTGCATCCTGTACTGCATATGTGATATTGTCTGAATCCTGTACTGCATGTGTGATGTCTGAATCCTGTACTGTGTGTGTGATGTTGTCTGAATCCTGTACTGTGTGTGTGATGTTGTCTGAATCCTGTACTGCATGAGTGATATTGTCTGAATCCTGTACTACATGTGTGATGTCTGAATCCTGTACTGCATGTGTTATGTCTGAATCCTGTACTGCATGAGTGATATTGTCTGAATCCTGTACTACATGTGTGATGTCTGAATCCTGTACTGTGTGTGTGATGTTGTCTGAATCCTGTACTGCATGTGGTGTCTGAATCCTGTACTGCATGTGATGTTTTCTGAATCCTGTATTGCATGTGTGATGTCTGAATCCTGTACTGCATGTGTGATGTCTGAATCCTGTACTGCAAGTGTGATGTCTGAATCCTGTACTGCATGTGTGATGTCTGAATCCTGTACTGCATGTGAGAGATGTCTGAATCATGTACTGCATGTGTGATGTCTGAATCCTGTACTGCATGTGTGATGTCTGAATCCTGTACTGCATGTGAGGTTTTCTGAGTCCTGTACAGCATGTGTGATGTCTAAATCCTGTACTGCATGTGTGATGTCTGAATCCTGTACTGCATGTCGTCTGAATCTTGTAATGCATGTTATGTTGTCTGAATCCTGTACTGCATGTGTGATGTCTGAATCCTGTACTGCATGTGTGATGTCTGAATCCTGTACTGCATGTGTGATGTCTGAATCCTGTACTGCATGTTATGATGTCTGAATCCTGTACTGCATGTGTGATGTCTGAATCCTGTACTGCATGTGTGATGTCTGAATCCTGTACTGCATGTGTGATGTCTGAATCCTGTACTGCATGTGTGATGTCTGAATCCTGTACTGCATTTGTCGTCTGAATCATGTACTGCATGTTATGTGGTCTGAATCCTGTACTGCATGTGTGATGTCTGAATCCTGTACTGCGTGTGTGATGTCTGAATCCTGTACTGCATGTGTGATGTCTGAATCCTGTACTGCATGTGTGATGTCTGAATCCTGTACTGCATGTGTGATGTCTGAATCCTGTACTGCATGTGTGATGTCTGAATCCTGTACTGCATGTGTGATGTCTGAATCCTGTACTGCATGTGTGATGTCTGAATCCTGTACTATACATAGTTAATGTCTGAATCCAGTACCATACATAATTGATATTGTCAGAATCCTGTAAATGTTAAAGATATCACGACATCTTGTGTCAACGATATGGTTCTTTCCTGTATTTGGTAACACTACAGGAAAGGAGTTGAAGACAATGAGTGAGTGAGTGAGTTTAGTTTTACGCCGCTTTTAGCAATATTCCAGCAATATCACGGCAGGGGACACCAGAAATGGACTTAACACATTGTGCACATGTGGGGAATCGAACCCGGGTTTTCGCCCCAGTTGAAGACAAAGTGCTTTCTGTGATACTGTCTAACCCGTGTGCATTAGTGTTGGGAATTGGTTGAAATCTCACAATTGATGATTGCTTTATTACCAACAAACAATCATCGAAAAAAATTGGTGAGCATTATTTTTCAGAGTTTCCTATCCAGGTTGTTATTGCAGATAGGTGTAAGGTGATGCAACTTGCTACTTTAAAGTGATGACTAATATATATGACCATAAACTTCCTGGAGTCTTCAAGAAATATTCAGTCATGACTTTTCAGTTAGTGAAGTGAGTTTTCTAAGAATTAAACAAGTTTGCAGATCCCGACAACTTCGAAGATATGTTCCATCGTCAAGTGTTTCAAAGACTAAAACAGCAGTTCCAAAATCGTTTGTGTTCGATTATGAGAAAATGTGATCCATTGCTTGGTCGTCTGGTCACTGCGACCAATCTTTGATTATTTCAATTAATCGGAACACCACTAGTGTGCATGGACAACTTCTACATCCAAGAACTTGGAGGACACCCAACTTTACAGCCCATCCTCAACGTGACATGGGATAGCTTAGTGGTAAAAGCATCCTCTTGCCATCTGAGTCTGATTCCCTGCATGGGTACAATGTGTGTATGGGTACAGTCATTTTCTGGTGCCCCCCACCAGGATATTGCTGGAATGTTGTTAAAAGCGAGGTAAAAAAACCTCATTCACTCGTGTGACATGAAATATAAGCTGATAATGAAAGCTGTAAAAATCTTTATTACAACATGATGTGTCTATGACAACAGAAGACAGCAATAGTCTAGATGAATCTACAAGTTAGGGTTTGGCCAATCACAGTCGTTGTAAAATTTACAATGGTGCGGATTGTTCAAACCTGCCACAACCTCTAAGCATCACATCCACTCTTGCAAGCACCTGTCCCCAGTGTACACGCCAACATGGGAGGAGTCACAGGCAACATCACTGTGCACCTACGTCACCCTGTACACAGACCAGCATTGGCGTTGCAGTAGTGAACACTCCTATCTCCCCAATGATCAAGGATCCGTCATTGTATAACCAACTGTGGAGTCCAGTTGGCCCAGCACGTTTACAAAAGAGATACAAAATATTATCTTCCATCAAACAAGACTTTGTGCCTCCATTTTGTATTTCTACATTTATCTCCCAAATACTAAACAATAGTATTATTGTTAGGGTCATCCTGGGCCAAAGTCTTTTTTTTCTGAGTATTTTAATAAATTTTACAACTCCACACCGCTGGATATGGGAAAGAGGTTGCTTAGCATTTACCCTTTAAGACGCATGAAATAATAAAGCCAGAGAGAAACTGTAAAACTAGTGTTTTGTTTTCTAAAAAGTGACTACAAAGCCAGGTACATAAGATATTGTTCGTAGTTATCCGTGAGTCACATGAAGTATACATCGTTGTGGAATACACGAAAGATTCTTAAAACTATAAAAAGCACACGATAAACTCCCCAAAATGTGTGGCCCACTGACTGCCAGGGGTGTTCAGCTGGCTTCTTTCAAAGTAGTTTTATACTAATCACCCAATGTTGCTACACCCAGAGTTGTCTCCCTTCCACTGTAATCCAACTATGGACAATGAGCTGCATTAGTCCTGTAAGGGAATGGAATGTATGAACTTTGCATAAAGGAAAAGATTACATATCAAAATAGGACGTACGTGTACGCCAGTGAAAGGGAGATAACTTTTGTTGTATACCACAGTTACAATGACTATCTATCTGTACAATGAGCATCACACCAGACCAACATGCATACAAATATTACATGGTATCCCACTGTTGTAACCAGTGCCACACTTCCCCATGGAATTAGAGGTAGATTGCATGTGTGTGGCTCTGTATTCTCTAGTTCTATAATAGCACTTGTCCAAGGCGAGGCCGTACATGATTATACAAAACAATTTCCTTTCAGGCAAAATAGTGTACATAAATACAGCATTCTTCTTAAACGTACACATAACACAACAATGAAATGCCCTTCGAGTGTGCCCTTAGTTGAGTATATGTTGAGGTTTGGGCATGGGGGCATGAGGACAGGGCAGGGGGGTGGGGGGTTTGAAAAGGGTTGTGTATTAGGTAGGGACAGGTAGAAAAATAAATTTACAACTCTTAACATTTTAATGGGTTGTTCTGGGCAGGGATAATGGGAGAGAAAGACGCATTTATGGTAGGATGTGGATGGGGGGGTGGGACATTGGGGTGGAGGATAGGCGATGGGCATCCAAAACATTGGGGTGGAAACTGAAGGGTGGCAGGAAGAGAATACCCTCAACGTTTAGGGAGGAAACTGTCGGCACAAGCGCAAGGGGTCTCCACAAAATTTGAATAGAAATTATGATTGAATTATGCAAATTGTGCTCAGGCTATTGAATACTACCTGGTCCGGCGACAAGTGGGGATACTTGCATGTGATGGACATTACCATGTGGTTCAAATAAATCACTGTGGAATATATACACGTATTGCAGCACAGTTTGGTCAAACATACAATATGTTATAACTAAGTTGGTACACTATATAACGACATACATACTGTATATTATTGCTGTGCATCAAACATTTCATCACATAAGCTTACAAACAGCCAACCCCAAGTCGGAGGACCACACGCAAGTGTTGATTACTAGGTTCGAATATTGTGATGAACAATGAAATCCGTGTGTGTACATCAGAAGCAGTAAACTCATACGTTAGTCAATACTTACACGGCAAAACTCAGGCTGTAAAAACCTGTATCAAAGGAACTGGTAGGAATAATTACAAGAGTAACAGAAAGGCCGCTAGACAGTAAACTAAGGGAGACAAATTTAATTAAGAAGGTAACATACCTACACAACACATGCTGAGGAACATAAGTATGAAAAGTACATACCACCAAACAGGTGGATGAACTGAAATATGACGTAATGCATTCAACACAATACAGGTAGAAGTACTTCTTAAGTCGATACAGGTAACAGTTTTAGAACATGTACATACAAAAACATGGGTCTTCAAAATTAGAAAGGCCGATGAAGAAAGTGGAATATGTCTTGCTTATCAAAGTGTTGTCTTCCCTGAATCAATTACACTTAACATATATCTGGATTTCAGGCAACAACATTTAACACTTAAAGTCCATCACAACTTAAATATTATTGCTGAGATGGAAAGATAATTATGATCTTAGACTGTCTGGAATCAAAGTCTATAAAACAACAGTGATCTGAATTGTAATAAAGCAGCCTATAGTAAGACACTGGCAAGAAATATTTTCCAAATAGGCTTGACGTTCTGAAAGATTCATCTTCTTCAAACTGGAACATTTCGAGAGCAAACTTTCACACTAAACATTTTATGACTATCATCTGCCCAAACTGCCTGAGGTTTTCTCAGCAAACTTTTGATATATCATACAGCCAGTTAATATCATCAGCTGTCTGCAGGCTGTGAGTGGTGGGGAGGTCAAGTTGATCTGGTCTTGCTTTTGCCTCTTCAGCACCTGCAGCTTCTTATTCCCTACTCTTAGTACTGTCCTAAATTTGTTGCATAATCTCAGATGTTCATAACACCTTCTGAAGCAGTCCAGCGAGCAGGCATACCGCCAACAGAGTTATGGCCCCTGACAGGGAAGTGGCACCATTCACTGAAACACAAATACGACAACATGAAAAAGTGAGTGAGTGAGTATGGTTTAACGCTGCTTTTAGCAATATTCCAGCAATATCATGGCGGGAGACACCAGAAATGGGCTTCACACATTGTACCCATGTGGGGAATGGAACCCGGGCCTTCGGCGTGACGAGCCAACGCTTTAACCACTAGGCCACCCCACCATCCCCAAACATGAAAAAGAGCACCAACTTCAGAGTGAGTAAGTTTGGTTTCACTATGCTTTAAAAAATATTCCAGCAATCTCATGGCAGGGGACAAAAGAAATCTGCTCCACACAATGCACCCATGTGGGGACCTGAACCTAGCTCTTCAGTGTGACAAGTAAATACTTTAACCACAAGGCTACCCCAGAAACTATGTGTGCATATACATGCAGTAGTAACTGCAGACATACATGTGTAAGATGCATTCAAGAGATCACATTGTTACCATTACTGAATACAAATTAGGAATTGGAAGATCGATTTTCTGAAAAACTTTCCACTGGCTCACATTTCGGTAAACCTATAATAACCCCTGAATGCATTCAGACTGATTTGCGATTTCAAATTGCCCATCCTTGTGTTCATTAACATTTTGCTGACCAATCACAGGATGAGAAAAAGAAATGCGAGGGGATGAGTTTGGTTTTATGCCACTTCTAGAATATTCCAGAAAAAAGTCTTGAGATTCACACATTGTACCCATGTGGGGAAGCAAGTCAAAATCTTTGATGTGACGAGTTAACACTTTAACCACAAGGATACCCTGTGGCCTGATAAAGAAAAGACAAATTATTACGGAGGCAACTTGCATTGCCGTGTTAATGCCGCCGACCAAACACAGAGACTGGTCTGTTAATTCTATTCTGATTTTACATTACAGAAATTGCGTAGCAGATAAAATTTACCAAGGAAAAAGCAAGGGTGTGTACTATAAAATAACAATGGCTCAATGGTTAGTATAGGATAACTGAAGTACAAGCCCAGTTGACACAGAACATATTCACATGGCTTTTGTCACAGTGGTTATGGTATCAACATTACACAATAAGGGACACAACTGCATTAATGGACACACCCACCACCTGTCATTAGAAGACAAAGGTTAATGTGACCTGTAACATATGGCCTACACAATAATGTTCTTTGAGCCTCTAAGATTTATGCAAGTTCGGCAACCAAAATTATTTTCTCTGCTAAAAGTGGTAATTTATATTCAAATTATTATGGAATCACAGCTACATTTACACCTTAATTCCATTTACTCTTATCAGTACTGCAGCTCTGATGAATTAAAATGGCCAGGATCCCTTCCAGTTATGGAAACCTTGACAATGCAAAATTCTGGGCATGTTGAGCTGCTTTCTTCCGTATCTATGTAGAGGAGGCTGAGCCAATATCACAGCATTTGTGTATTTACATTTTACATATATCTGATATAGGTAAAATTGAATTAACTGATGTGCAATTCAAACTTGTTGCTGTAGTAAGAGAGTGATACAGTGTTTGTGTCACCATTACCAAGATAGGGAGGTGTTGAAGTGAGTAAGGTTTTCCGCCACATTTAGAAATATTCCAGCAATATCATTGCAGGGAACACCAGAATTAGGATTCACAAATAGGAGGTGCTGGAGCAACAACGAGGTGATGTGGCGAAATGGGTTTGACCGACAGATTTGTGCTTGCGAGAGTTCTGATGATGGTGGTGCTGTGGGAGGTGATTCATGTGGTATAGATGCTGGTGTGGCGGTGTAGTGGTGTAGGTTGGCTGGGTTGGGATGGGGATGGGTTTGGGTATGGGATGGTATGGGATTTGTTTGGGATTAGGATGGAGGCACTTTATGTTGAGTTAGGTTAGTGTAGGGAAGGTTGGTTGGTTTGTTGCCACACTCAGCAATATTCCAGCTATATGGCAGTGGTTAGTTAAAAAAACAAAAAATCAAGTCTGGACCAGTGTTCAACAACACGAGCACCGATCTACACAACTGGGAATACGATGTGGATACAACTGACATGTGTTAACCTAGTCAGCAAGCCTGATCACCAGGTCCCGCCTCCTATGACAACCATGGGTTGCTGAAGATCAATTCTAACCCAGATCTTCACAACGAATGGGTAGGATGGTGTTTTTGAGTGGCTAGGATGGGGGATCTAATGTGGGGATAAATTAAGCAGTTGTGGGGCAGAGATGCAGGGTGGGTGGGTAGGTTGGCATGGCCATAGGCTGGGATGGAGAGATTCCAATGGGATAGGAGAGGGGTCTGATGGTGTCAGATAGATATTGGAGGATACAGAGAGGTATGGACGCTGGATGGTAATGGCATTTGACTTTCAGCTGAAACAGTTCCTTCCACAAAACCACATCTTTTTAAAACCTGAGTGAAAGCGCTTGCTTGCAATTTGATTACGAGAAGTCAAAGCTATAAGATCAAGCAGGGATAGAAAATAAATACTGTATTAACCTCCAGCAGGTGAAACTGAAATGATGAAAAATAATTTTGATTATATGATGAATGTTGACTAGTTTCTGCCAAGCAATCCTAGATGAAGCCCTATGGCTGATTTTATGTACCCGGTAGCCCCAGCCTCCAACTGGTAAATCATGTCGGCGACTGATTGTAGAACTCTGCTGCAATAATGAACACAGAAGCAATGGCTTCCCCTCTCCCTTGTTGGTGAGTTGTTAATGAAAAGTCATGCAAACTCAAAGGCAACCTTGTAAGTCAACACAGTCAAACATGCAAAGTGTTAACAGTCTGTACAGTCAAATGGTTTGCAGCTGCCATCAAATATTCTTTGTTCTTGGACTTGGAAAGTTAGCAGGCAGCATGGCCTTAAATTATGCATCACCAAAAGCTTGCAGTCAATGTGGTAACCAGGCCTTTAGCCATTCCATGAACTAAGGCTTGCAGTACCTTGTAGTCAATGTGTCAGAATGCAGTCAATGTGTTGGTCAGTGCTTGCAGTCAGTGTCGATCAGTGCTTGCAGTCCATGTGTCGATCTGCGCTTGCAGTCAGTGTTGATCAGTGCTTGCAGTCAATGTATCGGCCTGTGCTTGCAGTCAATGTGTCAGTCAGTGCTTGCAGTCAATGTGTCAATCAGTGCTTGCAGTCAATGTATCGGCCTGTGCTTGCAGTCAATGTATCGGCCTGTGCTTGCAGTCAATGTGTCAGTCAGTGCTTGCAGTCAATGTGTCAGTCAGTGCTTGCAGTCAGTGTCGATCAGTGCCTGCAGTCCGTCCAGACATGCAGTCAATGCTACAACCATGGATTGCCAAGGGCCTGTCAATGAAAACTGGCCAAGCTTGAACAAGCAATGATGATTATCGGATCTGCCTGAAATCTACGCATGTATATTCCTGCATCACAGACAGAGGTGATTGGAAGAAACCAGTGCCAAAATGCCACATGATGGACTCTGACATGATGGGTGAGTCTAGTTTTTCGCTGCAATCAGCAATATTCCAGCTATATGGTGGCAGTCTTTAAATAATTGAGTCTGGACCAGACAATCCAGTGATCAACAGCATGACCATCGATCTACTGGGACACAATGGCATGTGTTAACCAAGTCAACGAGTCTGGTCACCTGATCCCGTTAGTTGCGGGAGGCTGAAGATCAATTCTAATTGACTTGGTGAGGCCCTCACCCACACTGGGTGAGGCTCTGAGAACATGTCAAGAATCCATCATATTCCACGGTTACTGGTTCCTTCTTTATACCATGTCTTGTATACCACGTGTCCACACATGAATACCGAGGGAAACAAATATGGGAACACATGAAAGCACAAGTGTTCCTTTATTATTTTCCAAGTTTCTTCACAAGCTGTGTATAGCACTGTGGGTGAAAATCTCAGAATAAATAGCAGAACACTGCAATGAAGTGGTGTTCCCTTATTTGTTTCCCTGAGTATATGTTAGATACATCAACCTCAACATGGTGTTAGTGAACCAAGTTCTGTGTACCCTGCCCTTGAACAGTACTTACCGTCCTTTTCACTTGGAGTATCGCCTGCCATTGGAAACACATATATTTTCACCCTCGTAACTAAGTTCAAATTTGTACAACATTCATTTCATTTCTATTTCTATCAGACAGTTATCTTTGAAAATTATCAGTCAGTCCTGGCGCAAAGGTCAGTTACCTCCCTTTCACCTTTAACCATATACAGGATTCCTTACAAATATGGCGAACAAAGATGTAATGATAACTCATAAAATGACTAATGTATCCACCTGTAATGACAGCACTATAAACCGACTCCATACATGTTACAATATACGAGATACGAATCATTTTACTTGTCAATGCCAGTTATCGCCCTTGAACTGACTTCATTCTGAGTTCATGAACTTATCACCTATATATTCAGAGGAAAGAAGATTTTTTCACTTTTTTTCTCTAATGCACCTAATGACACTGCAATCACTATACGTGCCAAGTTAAACTGGCAGCATAACATATATCAATAGAAAATTTACACGGACATGATCTCCTGGCAAGTTCTATCTCAGGACAAGTTCATTTCCACTCCAGTATTACAGTAATAATAATGGACATGCAACAATTGTACAAAACATTCTAGGCTAACCTGTGTAGCCAAGTAGGGTGATCTCTGCACCAAACAAGATGTTAATGCAAACCCAAGTCATAAATGATGAATTTTTTTTGTATATTATTAATTTCAAAAGAGATATTTCACTAGCTTATAAATGAAATATATACAGTCTGTCTTTATAATCAGTCAGAAACTGACTCTACCAGTCTTGTCAATGAGAAATCACACGATGGATGTTGCATTTAATAAAGATAGATACATTTAATAAAGATAGGTACAAATTTTCATAAAGTACTTTAGCATCAATTCCAAACCAACATAAAGAAGGGTGAGAACTTTACCAAATGCTGATACCATGTTTTGTTGATACATCTCAAATTCATAAACAACATTGCCCAGTGCCCAAAGCTGCATAGTCCTTTGTTCAACAGAATAGCTACCTTGGAATATAAAACTGATCCATTACTGGATCAGTATGTCATTTTAGTAGCCCCGATAGTGTTAATACAGATACATGCCATGACTTTAACACTGGGGTGTTTAGTGCAGGATATACGGCATGGCTGAACCTAAGCTAGTCTGCCCCAGAAGCATCAGCAGTAACTACATGTAACCGTAGCAACCTACCTTTCAACAAGTACACTGGATACTGGAAAACCTGATTGTCAAATGTCTTGACATCAAGGTAGATGTTGGCCGAGAAATGCCATTCCTTCATTTCGTAGAACTTCAGTATCACTTCATCATGAGTATCATTGTAACCCTGGAAACATAACATCCCCGGTTAAGTAGGTGAAAAATTTGTTTGTTGTTATATACTCGGCAATATTCCAGCTAAATGATGGTGGTCTGTAAATAAACAAGTGTGGATCAGAAAATCCAGTGATCAACAGCATGAGCATTGATTAATCAACAAACAAAAATCTCATTCTGATCATACACACCTTTTGTATGACTTCTGTGAGAGATTCTGTCTGGTTGCCAGGATACAGTTGGTGCCTGTTACCGACATTAAACATGACTGACTTCACTTTTGGGACCTTGGACACAAAGCATGTGAGGGTCACTCGGCGGTCGTTGAGGCCTGCAGTATTGTTGTGGCATGAAATCACTGGTTTGTCTGGAACATAACAATAACATCAGCTACAGAATAATACAAGTGCATCGATGCAGTACATCAAATATTCCCTGTCCAGTAATTTCATATTCCAAATAAGTGGAAGCAATGTATCCAACTCCAAGAGCGTTTTAATGTTTTCACTGGATGTTAATAAATAATAACATGACTCGCAGTAAAAGAATACATTGAAATGAAATGAAATGGCAGTGGTGTGAAATAGTAAACATGTTACGATAAGGTAAATATAAATATTGAGGATTAACTGTTGTTAAAATAATTAATACCAGCTGGTACAAAAGAGCAAATAAACATGTAAATAACGTTTTGTTTGATAAGTAAAACACATCCAAAAGAGTGAGAGTATACAGATGTACAATTTTGTGGATTACTACTCTTGGTACATTCATAAAAATGTTTCAATGTGACTGCAACCAACTTGACAGTGATAAAAGGATGAATTTGGAAAGTAGATTCCTGATTTACTGGCTCTTTATGATAGACATACATGACATGAATTTGCATTATAGATCATTGATATACACAAAAACAGACCTAACAAAACTTCAAAAGCAATCTGCAAACAAAAACTCATATCAAAGCTCCAGATAAGATTAGCTCATGTGGGTACTGTACCCACTGTATATTTTTGGAGTGGCTATTATAAATGTTAAGTGGGTATTTCATTTTCTGTTACCCACTGCTTTCAAATATGCGGGTATTTCAGTGATTTTACTCACCTAAGTATATGTCATTGAGTAAGTTTCCTAAGCAGGTATGTACTGCCTTATGTCATACCGAAGCAAAACCAAATTAAATATAATGGAAATGATTTCATAAAAATTCACTCATCCTGTACTGACAGTACAACTAGATACCAATCGATGTTTTTGTCATTACACAAGTGATTTTTATAGATATATTCCGTATGCATATGTTATAAACTTTGTGCGTATCTAACATTTTAAATGCGTAATTGGTACGCAACAATCATTTTTCAATGCGTAATTGGAAATTTTCTGTGCATATTTTACCCAAATGCGCGGCTTATCTGGGCCTCTGCATATACAAGTGTATTATTTCCTCAGTGAGTGAGTGAGTTTAGTCGCCTCCTGCGAGAGGCATTGTTTACTGACGATCAATTCTAACCCTGACCTTCATGGGGTTTTCGGTTAAGAAACTAATCCACCAGGCTTATGGCTAATGATAGGCTAATGACCATTGCTGACTGTCATATACGCATGACTCACCTACGATTCCTTTAAGATTGACGCTGACTGCCATCTCTGCTGGGCTTGGCGGGGTCACATCATCTGGTAAGGTAGGTTTCGCCTGGCACTTGAGGGCTTTTTCAAACATACTGTGATCAAAGTCCAGCTCAAAGGTGACTGCAGACTTGAACGACCGTCTCTCTGTATTTCCTTCTTTGTCCATGATGGAGTTAACTGTACCGGTCTCAATCATCTGGTCTCCTACCATCACTTGTATTAAAGGTTCAGGGTTGGATCCCATGGCCTCGCAGTTCACCGTCAATGTTCCTGGCTTTGATTCTATAGTATCTCCTTCAGCTTTTACCTCATCGTTAACTGTCAGCTTGACTTCACTTACAGGAGCTGAAGAGACAAGCACAGATAAATGAGATCCTTGTCCTGTTTTATCAAGAAACGTAACAATGGATCAAAATTTAGTGCTGTAGGAAGACACATCAGGTCGATATTTTATTGTGTAAAATCTGAATTTATAAAGTCCTTAGGGATCATTCATAATTTATGGCTAGGAGTAGTGACGACGATATTTATGGAGAAGCATGTACTATTATACCCCCGACCCATCAATCCATAAATTATGATTGGCCCCTTATATTCTTATTTCCAGAGGTATTACAACAAATTTAGTGCCTCCAGAAGACATATCAGGTCAATATTACATTATGTAAAATCAGAATTTCTAAAGTCCTTATATTCTTAAATAGATTATTTTGACAACATAGTATCAAATACAATTTAGATTGCACTTATCTAAACCTAATAATAATATTTACAATACACAATCAATACCATCGTGAGTGGGAAGAAATACTAATTCCTAGTGACTACTTTTTAATCAAAAATCATCACAGATTTTGGGCCTATTATTGGCTTTTGAGAAGGTCAAGATAAAGAACTGGCAGTCACATTTTCTGGAATACCTTAAAAGTAAGATTCAAAAGAAATGTGTTCAGGGCAAGCTGTGGAACAAGTTTTTGTTCTTAACAACAAACTTATCAGGTTAAGTCAGCAATACATGCTTCAATCACACAGACTTCAGACTGGCAGGCTGCAAAGGACTGATTTATTGTCTAATTGACTCTTTAGCTGGGGAAGAAATGTTTTTACTCAAATCACAAAAGGCAGATCTAAAACAATGCAAGATTAGTTATTACTATACTTACCTCAGTTGGCAAATTTGTGAACTCTGATTTAGAAATGTTCACATGTCCAGTAAATATCTGTCACCAGTGGGCAGTACAATGTAAAGGGTATAGCTAAGAATATTCTAAAAAGTGTTTTCTCTGAAGTGTTACGTTGGAAATTGTTTAGGCAGACAAGTTTGTTTGTTCTTCAATGTCGCACTCAGTAATATTCCAGCTATATGGCAGCAGTCTGTAAATAATTGAGCCTAGACGAGACAATTCAGTGATCAACATCATGAGCATCAATCGACCAGTTCGGATATGATATGTGTCAATCAAGTCATCGAACCTGACCACCCGATCCTGTTAAGCCACCTCTTAAGACAAGCATGGGTTGCTGAAAACCAATTCTAAACCGGATCTTCATGGATTGAGGCAATATGTTGAAACGTTAAGGTTAAATCAAGGTCTTCAAAACTTAAAACATTGCCAAAACAGAAAGAACACGCTGAACACCGCTATGACCCTAACCTAACCCCACCCCTATTACCCTAACCTACCATGATACCCCTTAATATGTTAATTCCTGACATCAAATTTGTAAGATTAGTAAGAAATAGCAATATATTCTTCAGCTCAGAGGCTAAAATTGTGTGCAACGTTTTACACGTTTGAAAAGTGGTCAAAGTGTCATGGTGAACTTGAAATTAAGGTCAAGGTCACCCAAATCAACTGGCGTCTGCATAATCTCCAAATGTAGGCTGTCACCAAATTTGAAGATATTGATTACAACAGTTTGTGAAATATCGTGTTAACAAGAATCGGGACAGATGTAAGGACGCTGCTGAATACAATGTCACCCATTCAGCATTGCAGCAGGGGACAAATATTGTCTATATCCTTTGAAATAAAATGCGTGGACATGACGACTGAAACTCCCAGCTAGTTGTTTACAGACACCATAATTTATGCCTGAGTGAGTATGCTTTTACGCTACTTTCAGACTTTCAGCAATATTCCAGCAATATCATGACAGGGGTACACCAGAAATGGGCTTCACACATTGTATACCCATGCAGGGAAGGTTCACCATTATGAGCGACTACTCACCAACAAAGACGACCTGCTTGGTGGCAGACTCCAGAGCATCACTGGTCCCAGTCTTCTGGGTGCGGCAGGTGTATTCACCATCATCAGCTGCAGATGCTGTAAACAATTAAATCACACTTTTTCACGCTGCATTATATTGTGAATAGCTGCCTGCACACTATATTCACACTAGGGTCCTGAACACTACTCCCATTCAACATGGAAATAGTACACAGTGAGTGAGTGAGTGAGTGAGTGAGTGAGTGAGTGAGTGAGTGAGTGAGTGAGTGAGTGAGTGAGTGAGTGAGTGAGTGAGTGAGTGAGTGAGTGAGTGAGTGAGTGAGTGAGTGAGTGAGTGAGTGAGTGAGTGAGTTGTAACCATGAAGGGAATCCAAATGAACCTAGGTTTTCGGTGTGCAGAGCAAAAACCAAACACCTAGGTTACCAGAACGCACACTATCCACTCAATACACACAGTTCTTGTAACAGAAAAAAAACACCTTTTGGCAAAAGACATAAATTTCTTCATATTCGTGGAAACAAAACATGATAACTTGACCTCTTTTGTTGTACTTTTTTCCCCTTTCCCAGCAATAGAACAGCATATTTTCTGTGTCAATAAACATTTTGATAGCTCCAAATAATGCTGCGAGAATTTGGTTAGACTAAAATTAATGTGTGTTGTATTTAAGAACTTCTCACATTTTTACTGGACATCATTGCAAAGCACAGCTAAAAACCACTTGTATCAAAGGTTGTGAGTGAAAATGACTTTGGAGTGTGTGAATACAGCATAGGCTTCTAAAAGCATTTCAGTAATATCACTGTGGGCGACACCAGAAATGAGCTTCACGCACTGTACCCATGTGAGGAATCGAACCCAATACTTAGGCATGTTGAGTGCAAGCTTTATCCACTAGGCTACCCCATCGGCCAAGACTAATATTATAATACATGTCCATTTGTAATATGTTAATAGCATATATTTTTTTTTCATAAATGCTGTAACAAGAAAAAAATTTATCAGCCCAAACTGTGTTCCACAGGAGATATCGCCTGTTTGAGATCATATGATATCTCCTAGGTGATATCGTTTTGACAGTAGATTTTGCACAATACCCTGACAATGCTGTGACGTCGTGAACTTGATGATGTCACAATGCTATGACATCGTTGCACTGCAAGTCTAATGGTAGTACAGTGTTGAGAGATGTACATTTGTCATTGAAAACTACATGAAGATATAATTGATATCAGTAGACACTTGGGTGAGATTCTCTCTATATATATCTCTCTATATTACTTGTGAATAGTTGATGCAATTTAGAAAGCGGTCAAATGTAATGTTATATATGGGATTACACTTCCTCATTGGTGGAAATGCAAGCTGCAGAGGCCGATTTTCTATGAGGGCGATTGGGTGCCTAACTTCAGGTGAAATCTACCTTACTGAGGAAGTGTAATGCCAAATCTAACATGTTCCACACACCTACCTTTTTTTATTTTGAGAGTGACGCGCACAATGGGTATCATTTCAAGCTTGATGACATAATTATCTGTATTAGCGGCTAACAGACTCTCTTGTTCTGAAATGATGGTTGTGGCTTCAGTTGCTAGGTTTTTTGTGGACAATAGCCAGCTGCTTGGAGGCCATGAACTGCACATCTGCTGTCGTTGTGCAGGACAAGTTAATTTCATCTCCTTCCTTGATATAATTAGGTCCGGCATCGTCAAATGATGGGTTATCTTGTGCATGGCTAATGCCTGGAACAGACAGAGAAACACATTACCATGGTTATTGGAACACTAAATATTACCATGGTTACAGCAACACTAAACATTTCCATGGTTACTGCAATACTCAACATTACCATGGTAACTGCAATGCTAAACATCACCATGGTAACTGCAACACTTAACATCACCATGGTTACTGCAACACTAAGCATCACCATGGTTACTGCAACAATATGGCTCAGAACATTTGTTCAGTGATGAAGCTGTACAAGGGTAGATACTAGTGTTGGGAATTGGTTAAAATCTCATAATTCATGATTGCTTCATTACAACCGATCAATCATCGAATATACATTAGTTAGTGTCATTTATGAATTTTTTCTGGTTATTTTTGTTAATGCACACAAACAAAGAAAAAACGTAGTTCTTTGGGGTTTTTTTTTTTGTGTGTGTAAATTTCACATCTTTATGTTTCTTGGGGTCTTTAAGATAAATTCAATCATGACTTGGAATGAGCTTGTAGTGCTCATGAAATGTAACTGACAAAGCCAAGCTTGTGAAAAATATTGTTAAAGCAAAAAGTGTTCCAAAATTGTTTGTGTTCGATTATGAGAAAACATGCCTGGTCGTTTAGTCACTGTGACCAATCTTCGATTCCTTCAATTAATCGGACCACCACTAGTAGATATAGAAAAACACTATGATCTCAATTTCTGTTTTATCATTTAACACTACACTTAGTAAATAATTGGGTCAGGACTAGACAACCCGGTGATTGACATCATGAGCATCTACACAATAGGGAACCGATGACCTGCATCAACCAAGTCAGTGAGCCGGACCACCCGATTCTGTCAGTCGCTTTCTTGAAGTATGGTCTGCTGATCAATCCTAACCAGGATCTTCATGGGTCCTATGATCTCATTACATGGATAGTACTGACTGACTGACAGAGTTTGGTTTTACGTCGCTTTTAGCAATATTCCAGCACATCACGGCAGGGGACACCAGAAATGGGCTTCACACATTGTACCCATGTGGCGATTCGAACCCGGGTCTTCGGCGTGACGAGCCAACGCTTTAACCATTAGGCTACCCCACCGCCCCTTACATGGATAGTAACAGTCAGAGGTACCGATAAGCTGCATATCTGCATACATTACGTAAATATTTATGTGGAAACTCAATCCCTATCAGGGGTGGAAATAACCCATTGCCCGACGTCAGAGTCCAGTGTTTTTTCCAGTCGGGCAAGCAAATTTGTATATCATGCTGTACCAATGTCCAGTTGACTTTCCAATGTTAATTATGTTGTTTATTTAAAAAATCAACAAGAAAATTGGCCAGTATAGAGGAAACATTATCAGGGCAAGTGATTTTACAACTGCCACTGTACCGGTGTACACTAGCTATTTTAAAGTTATTTCCACCCCTGCCTAATAAGTCTATTGCGTACACATACACTTGAATTTTTGTAAATACCCAATAAATGTGATGCTACATGCATAAACACAAAAATGTCAAATCTTAGCTTGCGTACTTGTGTATAGATAAAGAACTGAGGTATATTGAGAGGTTTTGTTTCAGGACATGAACTTGACAACTTGCAGTCTTTCTTGTTGTTTCTCATATTACAGATCAAATATATATATAACACACTAACATTTAAGCTTTATTATATTTTCTAAAATTAACGGAAAATGGCGAAATACCCACTTGAGTTTGAGTGAGGTGAGTACAAATTATTTTGTTACTCATAGGAAAATTAGGATACCCAATTGAGATGAACACAAGCAGTACATAACTCAATGACCCAAAACGTTATCTGTAGCTCTGAGAGGCGGTGGGATACTATTGAAATAGTTACATGGAGTATGGGACAGTACACACTGTTTTGAATTTCCTGATGCCATATGTGCTAAATTCTACTAAACACATTGTCTATCAATAATTAGGGGTCCCTTGGAGCCCCATGTTTGTGAGTTGAGGTAAAACCCTGCCCAAAGCATTCTGTAACATCTTCTCAGTCAGACCTTGTAATGGCTGGTGCATTTATATTCATGCTTCTTGTTTGACAAAAAATTCAATTTCAGGGGTTCCTATGTTCTATACAGTGAGTGAGTTTAGTTTTATGTTGCTTTTAGCAATATTCCAGCTATATCACAGCAGGGGACACTAGAAATGAATGTGGGGAATTGAACCCGGGTCTTCGGTGTGACAAGCAAATGCTTTAACCATTAGGCTACCCCTACATTCTATACAGAAATGAAATGGTGCACTATACAATTTGATGTGTGCCTCGAGGATATAACATTTTCTTATTCCATGTCCATTCTATACATTATTACCAACGAACGTACATTCCTGTGTCATGTAAAGCCCTGTACTAGTCAATAAGGATTATCACTGCTGGATTGGTATTTGTCCTGGGCCAGCAGATGAGTGAAATTGTAAGGTTGTGAGTGTACGCTGTTGTGTGTATTAGTCAGCAGTATTACTGCAGTCTCACAGCCATGTGACCCTACAACTGAGTGGGAGTGGGGGCCTGCTCACTGAACCAGACAGACACCAGACATGCCTGTGTGTAGTGGGGCATAACGCGGGCAGACTTGGGCTGGAGTTGTCTCGCAAAACTACACTACAATACAAACACACCACACATTCACCAGACTAACTGCCCGTAACACATAATATATCAATTCAGCATCTATACAATTCAGAGATTTGAAATTGTCTTTCCGAAGGTTTGATTATCGACTATAGTCATATCCAGGACAGCATCCCTAACAACAATTTGAGTACTGAATCCAAGCAAGAGTGAATCCCCTATGGTAGTGTTGGAACATATTCAAGTATTTGTGGTATTTCAGACAGAATTTGCATGAAATGGGATACATACTGCTATAAATATTCAAGGTTTTTCAGATGAGTGCATCATTCAGTTGAATCTGTATCATTATCTTTATCTCCAGATGACAGCATCATCTCTGGTTACCATGACATCAGAAATGAAGCTGATTTCAGTGTGAAATCCTGCAAATTTATATCTTGCCAGCTGTCTCCTCTTGTAACAGTTTGATAGAATTGCTCCAGCATGACCCTTTTAGCACTATTCCCATGATGGGACCCATGAGATGAACACATATCTACCTGGGGAAATGTATTGTCTGACACATTTTAACTTTCTCGTAAAGTTGTTTCTCATAACACTTCAGTTAGATAGGTGGTATTTTGTAACAGTTTAAAGTCCTTATCATGTTAGTAAGCTTGTAAACCAATGGTAATTTGTGTAACATCAGTCACATGGGTGATGCTTGGATTTTATTTCACTTTTACGATTATATTGTGGCAATTTTTGCAAAAGGACTGTGATAGTATTGAACCAACAATAAAGACTTCATAAATACCCAAATCACTGGAAATAAATGAAGATTTCTGACATTCTCCTTTTGATCCCTGTCACTACTAAAACTCATGCAGAGTTTTATGTGACGTGCAAATGTTCGTCCAGTACGCACAAATGTAGAGAATGGATGCAATAGTGAGTGAGTATGGTTTTATGCCGCTTTTAGCAATATTCCAGCAATATCACGGCCGGGGGACACCAGAAATGGGCTTCACACATTGTAACCATGTGGGGAATCGAACCCGGCGTGACGAGCGAACGCTTTAACCACTAGGCTACCCCACCGCCCCATGAATGGATGCAATAACACAAATCACTGCATCTTGGCGGATGATCGGTATTATTCACGGTACCCACAACACATCTATGACTTTGACTAAGTGTTTGGGTGTTTCTTTCACTTTTTACTTTCAGAGCAGTTACATTCATCTTTTCATCCACCAGTCCACCTGATCAATGATTCATTCCAAACTCTGAAGAAATTACCAAAACATACAGACTGACTGACTGAGTTTGGTTTTACGCCGCTTTTAGCAATATTCCAGCAACATCACGGCGGGAGACACCAGAAATGGGCTTCACACATTGTACCCATGTGGGGATTCGAACCCGGGTCTTCGGCGTGACGAGCCAACGCTTTAACCATTAGGCTACCCCACCGCCCCTCCAAAACATACAATCCTCCTCACAGGACCCCCACACTGCCTGCAAGGGTCCTATGTTGTGAGTCGAGGTAAAACCCTGCTCGTGTAAGTAACTGTGTGAAGTTGTACAATCCTAACCACACACAGCCAGATATGACATTTGCATAATAATATACACAACATGGCTATTATTATTTACAAATGCACATAAAGCAACATTTCTGGAATACCTTGACAGTGGGGCACCATAAATTGACCTTCTACACAATTTAGACCACAAGGCTACCCCAGGCTCAAAGTGAACTTAAGAGCCAATACGTTGACAGCCTTATTGACAACAGCTTCTTGTCTACTGTTTACCTTGATAAACACAAAAGAATCTACATCAAAATGTCACTCTATGCAATAACCGGGAAGTTGGTATTCAGGAAGTCGTAATCGTTGTTCCTGACCCCCAAATCCAAACCCCAATCAAACCATTAACATAACAGCACAAGTATGCATAGGGTGCAGTTAGGACTGCATGAATTGTAACCATGGTAACCTTTAGAACTTTATTTTTAGATAGCTCTGCTGGGGAGATTCAAATTGGGTGCACAACAACTCAAAGATGATTCAAAGATCACATATGTAGATTGTAGGTCTCTCCCGCCCACACCCACTCACGTGACCTGAAATTCATCTGCACATGTACACAGACAAGCATTTTCTTTCACCCTGTTCATGTGTGACAAATAGCGTGTAAACAGCTGTGTGGCCAGCCCTTTGGGTATGGAGCATGCCACACACTGAACAAAATGAAACATGTCATTTGAATTTCTGTTCATTAAACAGTTCATTTTTCTGAGTGAGGACGGTTTACTTTTAGGACACTTTTATCAATAATTCTGTGGCGGGTGACACCAGAAATGTGTTCAAGACAGTGTACCCATGCGGGGATTCGAACCCATGTCTTTGGCGTGACAAACAAACGCTTTAACTACTAGGCTTCCCAACTGTGGTTATATTTGTCTGAAACTGTGATTGGCACATTAATGAAAGGAACTTCAGATAAATTGTTCACGCTTCTAATACTTAAATCCTGAGTGGAAATCAGCAACTGTAACCATGGTGACATGGCTTCTGTGTCATGATGTTTAAGAACTGTGACAAGTCACTTATGAATCTCTATTAATTTAGTTGTCTGATGCTTAATGTCAACCACCAACTTCCTGGTCATAACCACAACACTAATATTAGAATAAACAACTATGACTCTTATGAATATATATTAATAGAGATGCCCAATGTTTAAGGTAAATGACAACTTCCTTGACATCACCTGGCACTAATATAGGACAAACAACTGTGACATGTCACTTTTCTATCCTTTAAAGAGGCAAGTCGAATAATGCAAAAGGTTGGTTTGTTGTTTAACACCACACTCAGCAATATTCTAGCCATGAGGGTGACTGCACATAATCAAGTCTGGTCCAGACTATCCGGTGATCAACAGCATCAGCATTGTTCCTTGCAACTGGGATACAATAGCATGTGTCAACAAAGTCAGCAAGCCTGACCACTCGATCCCGTTTGTCGCCTCTTACGACAAGCATGGGTTGCTGAATTCTAACTCGGATCTTCACATGAAGATAAGTAGAGGTGTGACGATACAGAAATTTCACGATACAATTCGATGCATATCATGATATGCTTTCTTTAGTTAGCAAGAAATTATGACATAACCGTCAATATCTAACAAAACTTAACAATTGTAAGGTCAACGATACACATCACGATACGAAAAAATGTATCGATATAGTTATCGTCCAAAAAAGTATCACGATTATCGATACTAGGATATATCGTCACACCTCTAAAGATAAGCAAACAGTACAGACCCCAATCAGTAAGGGGAACAATGTATTAATTTTATGGATATTTTCAGAAATTATCATTTGAACCATGAATTAATCCTTCAGAGAGTCTAAAGCCCAATGATTAATGCAAATGACCAACTTCCTTGTCAGAACCCTAGCACTGATACTGAATTATTTGTTTAAGCAGCACAAGGACCTCTAAGCCCCCCCCCCCCCCTCCCCAAATTCCTCACACACCATACACACAACACACCGAATACTGAAACGCTGATATGGAGAGTACAAGCTGAAGCAACAGACAATGATATGGCTTCAGATAATTTGTTTAGCCATTGTGCATTTTCTCCTATGAATTCATCATGGATTTCAATACTTTTCTATGTATATTCAATAGATTTATACTCCCTGGAGTACTTTAAAACCAATGAGCAGATATTTATTTCACCAGTTCAGACAAAAATGGTGATTTCTGTCCCCAGTGGGTTTCATGTTGCATAACTCACAATTTTGTGAAGTACATGATTAGGTTACCATGGTGACAGTTAACTTAGGTATATATTTTAAAGTTATTACCACAGGGACAGTCAACTGTTATTATTTTATTTCACTGCAGTATGTATTTTGACAAGTACTTGTTAAACAATTCGGTAATTTCGCACAGCATTGCGCTACTAAAGTGGGTTTTTAAAAAAAAGAAGAAGAGGTTTTCAAGTCCATTTGAACACAGGTAACAAAGATTTATTCATAATGATTCCTCAATTAGCATATTTTATACAAATACAAGGATTTAAGGGCTTTAGTACAAATGAGGAATACCTTGCATAACAGAAGCTTAGAAATATGGTTTATTTTCTGAAATAATCATCAATCATAAAGTCATGATTGACTATGGTTCTGCTGAAAATAAACCGACATTTATCACCAACTCAAAGGAGTCCTTTGTATGGTTGGTGAGCTGGAGTGTGTCTGTAACTAACAGATTGATGACTATAGATTAACAATTACCAACTCAACAGCTATGGTCGTTTTCCTACAGACCTTCTGATTTAAGTTGATACCGAAGAATTGCTCAAAAACACAATCTAATAACTGCAACAAAACCAAAGTTTGCACAGTCACATGAAATCGACAGACCAACGCAAAAAAGAGATCATTATTTGGTCACTTTTAGTTATTTCTTGTGAGGGGGGACTACTTGCTGGTAGAACAGCCAGGTGTGTGAGTTGTACTTGTATTTATGATAGTTCAACAGGACACCAGAAATGGGCTTCACACATTGTACTACTGTGGGGAATCGAACCCAGCTCATCGGTGTGACTAACAAAGTTAATGATAATAATAATAACGCTAATTTTGCGCCTAGGATCCAACGCAGTGCTGATCTCTGACGTTACCCTGACGGAATTGTACTTTTAAAGCCGCTACAAAGCGGTTTGCGTGACCGTATAGGTTCGTACATCCGCTTCTCAGGAACCCATTTTAAACAGCTGGGTGGACTGGGTGCAATGTGGACGAAGTGCCTTGCCCAGGAACACAACACAGTACGAGACCCAGGTCACAAATTTTGGTGTCTCCACTGGGATTTGAACCCGGGGCCTTTGATGTGAGATGCCTGCATGCTAACCACTACACCACAGTGCTCCACACAAAGTTTTAACCACTAGGCTGCTATGTGGCCCTCGACATGAACAGAGATATCGTTATTACTCTGAAATTTACAGGATGGGCTATGACTAGGTTTAACAAGGGAATGACTAAAACTATGCATCATCCACAAGTCGTACACTGACCAGAAGGATTGGTGCAGGAACAAAAGATGGCAGGATTTTCATAAAAAAGGAAGGGTGAGGTTATCATGTCACACTGTTTTGTGATGTGTGCACAAACAGACTGAAATGTTGACATGTAGGAGGCTAAAAAAGAAAGGTGACACATACTGAATCACTACTCCTTGGCCCCAAAATGCAGGGATATGTTGTTTGGGATATTATTTCTCAGTTAGTATATCATACTCCTTTTGTAGATACCCAACCCATGGGTATCTGAATGTCTGTGTACACCAAGCTGTCTCTCTCAGATACTGTGCAGAGTTCATGCTAGTCTGTCTCAGTCCCTGAACCACATTATTTTCCCTACTGCCTAGCCCTCCCTGCAAACCTAAAGCCCTAAATGAAGCAAGTCTAGAATTCCTGATGTCCTAAATTTCCATCTCACTGGGGCTCCTTTTCAATTTAAATGTTACTATCAAAATGTATATATTAAGATACTAAGCATTAGTCAAGTAGATACCATGAATGCCAGTGAGAACACTTCATTTTTGTCAAGTTGATATTTCTATGAAAAGTTTAGCAGAGCCCATCAACAACATAACTTTAACCTGTGTTAGTGTACTACTACACTGTTACAATCATACCAAATAGACCACAAAATATGAAGATCATATTGCAATTATTCACCAGTTTTCATATCCATATCGGTACAAAATATGATTTGTGTACCAATGTAAAACACTGTTGCAATGATAAAATCAAGGTCACATTATCACTATACGCTAGTTGTAACATTCACATCAAATATGAGGTCGGTGTGGGTTAGTGTATAACACTGTTCAAATGGCACTAAATGCGCAGGTCATACAAATGTCAAATACTGCTTTCGATCAATATCTGAACATACACACGTGAATTCATTGTTCAAGCGTCGGGCAGTGAGATTATTGCGTTACATAAGCGGATTTTCCCGAACCGCCTGAACAAGCCGTCGGCCGTTGAATTTTCACAGCGGCAACATGAGAACAGAAGGCACTACAAACGCTAAAACAATTTTCTGCATAACGCCAGACAATCAACTGTCATTGGCGACACATGGCGATATTGGTTGTCACGATCGATACTTGTGAATGTGTGCTTCTAGATGTGTTTAAGATGTGTTAAACATCAATCGACCATTTACACTGATCTCGGATCGATACTTTTAAACGGATCACGTGTTCAAAATTCATCAGACGAGCCGGTGTGTTGCCATGAAAATGCCGGCTTTTCAGAAGTACAGATCGGACACACGCTGAAACGAGACATTAGCGTTATGGACGTTTTATTCACACTACAGCGGACTTTCAGTATGAAATGTTCCGAGAATTGAGCTACTTGCATGACTAGGCTCCGCCGATATTGTCCCATCAGCAAGACATGGCGCGCGTTTGAAACCGGCAGGTGCAAAACCAGGTGTGATCAGTAAAATCATGGCGATAGACACTGGCATTTGGAAAACACATATTTATGCGTTTGTTTGTAGTACTTACCTGCGAATAAAACACAAACCGCTGCTATAATAATTCCCGACATGTTTCCTGCTCAACATCCAACGCACGCTATCTCTGTCCCGCTTCTACCTGCTCAACAGTGACGTCACAAAAGTAGTCCCGCACTATTTTCTCTTCAGTGAGCTGTACATATATATAACCTCTCTTACACCGCCAAACCAGACTGTAGTCACCGGATGTCGCTTACACGAGCCTGGAGCGCAATATATTCGTGGATTATCTTTTAATTATGTGTCATTGGGATTATTGTTCGCTAATTCAATAAGTTTACTGTCTCTTCAAATTATAGTGACCCGAGGCAGTGTTTATGACGAATGCCAACATTCTTGATGACGCAACATGCTGCCGACAGCAAGTGGATACGAGGGAGCCGAAAATTGTTGTGTCCACTGTACATTAAAGTAATTTAGATGTCACAATGTAAGTGCGTATAACTAGCTCGTTATAAGTGGGATGTCTGAGTCTGTGTGTTCTGTCTTCCCAGCTACCGTACCTATCAATGCAGTGCCAATAAACAGAGGAATTTAACCAAATGGACGATTGCTTGCATTGTCGGGGACCTTATGTAAAATACTTCACTGAAACTAATATTCGTAAACATTTTCGAGAGGATCTCTTTGAAAATGAATGTTCTGTTTGAGGAATAAATTTACGCTATTATTCAGTGCCATATTGAATAATTGATGTAAAATACGTCGCCTAACTAAAATTATTTTCGTAAACATTTTCAAGGATTTTTGAAAAAAATGAATTTTCTGTTTAAGATGTAAATGTGCGCAGTTATTGAGAGTCTGAATAATTACATTACGTGAATTGCTCTTACCCCTAAATATCCTTCCATATGAAGTAAGTCCGTTCCGTTATCAAGACACATTCACTTTCACAGTAACCATGGGGACTATTTTCAGATTTGTGTGATGCTGATCCGAAATGTGAGGATGTCACAAGACAAATTCCTCTTTAGGTACCTCTAGATGGGGTAACCTAGTACGTCGTCATGCCAAACACCCAGGTTCGATTCCCCACATGGATACGATGTGTGAAGCCCATTTCTGATGATATCCTTGGAGTATTGCTAAAAGCGGCGCAAAATGATACTCGCTCATTGTCATGTACCACGTACCATGTACCCTACATGTATCCCGTATTGCGATACGTATTGCGATATACTGGAGCTTAAGTGTTTGACAGTAAGTGCAACTAATTGTACATGTCGATCCTATTTGCAACATTCTAAGTCCCAAAACATATATGTTATGGTTCTGATGACATCAATCTCAAAATTACGTTGCATAGTCAGGGATTTGAGTTTCTTTTTATACAATTTATAGTACAATTGTATTACAGTATGCCGTTTTGTCATTGAATAACGAAGAAAAACATTTGCTGTGAATGATAGTCTGTGGAGATTATAATTTAGACCATAAAGATTATCACAACAACTTAATATACGTTCTTTACCCAATATACCGTTTCTCCGAAAAATATTGCAATATGTATCGTTTGACAAGCGTATATCGGTACACCGGTAATACCGCGCAGTCCTAGCTGTCAATAACCCATGCTTGTCGTTAGAGGCGACTATAACGGGATCGGGTGGTCAGGCTCGCTGACCTGGTTGACACGCGTCATCGGTTCCCAATTGCGGAGATCGATGCTCATGCCGTTGATCACTGGATTGTCTGGTCCACACTCTATTATTTACAGACCGCCGCCATATAGCTGTAATGTTGCTGGCTGTGGCGTAAAACAACAATCAATCAATAAAAATAACCACAAAACACCCTTATCATGCAGAGAGAGAGGGACGGTGGGGTAGCCTAGTGGATTAAGCGTTCGCTCGTCACACCGAAAATCAGGGTTCGATCCCTCACATGGTTGCAATGTTTGAAGACGGGACAAGCACACACACGCACATAGAGAGGGAGGGAGGTATTGTACCGTCAGATTTTTAAGAGCATGTTTTATCACCGCAGAGTACTTACTGTTTACGTCAGAAGCCGCCTAGACTGTCTCACAGTCTCTGGACAGCATTATTTCCCATCCCGCCCAGCCCTTTTTCTCCTATGCTGAAGCTCTAAATGAAGCAAGCCTAGATTTCCCCAGGGTCTGAATCTCCCATCTCATGGCCCCTTTTCAATTCAAAAGGACATTTTTTCTGTCAAACTTATATATATTCAGAGACTAAGCGTTAGTCTAAAACCCGCTATGTAATACACGCTGTGAATAAGTTACTGTATCACCCGGCATGATTCCCTATCTCAAGAATGTTTATGAAATGCGCCTGCAGCATTAAGAGCATTTCACAGTGAGCTGATATTTATTATCTCTAAAATGGCATATATGGAGATGTGTTTTTGCTTTATTGTAGTTTTATAATTCCAGTGAACTGTAAATCCCATAAAACATACACCGTATGCAGGTAAGGAGAGCTCTCATATTGCACAGGATGCACGATCTTTATCCTTGCTTGACGTGAGGAGCTTAGCTATTTATTCGCATTTCGGGATATCCTACCATCATGCCCAGCGATAACACACCTATGTTTTTATCCCTTTCCGCCAGGGGCACACCCACGCACGCACGCACGCATACACACACACACACTCTCTCTCTCTCTCTCTCTCTCTCTCTCTCTCTCTCTCTCTCTCTCTCTCTCTCTCTCTCTCTCTCTCACACACACACACACACCCTCTCTCCCCTCCTTCAATTCGCATCCATTATTGTTTAAGTATTTATAGTTTAGGGGTCATTAATTTGACGAAGCATGAATTTATGATGTGCTGAATAATAGAGGAGTGATTGCAGCGTGGTATAGAAGAAGTTGTGACATGCCTAACTGTTATAGCCAGCCGGCCTGACAACGTCCCAGCTGTCACAGCCTGGCTTATCTCAGCGTGGTTATAACTAGCCCCCAGCACTTGTTTGTCCACGCAGTTTATTACCCAAGCTGGCTGGTTAACAAGGATTTGTCAACCCAATCCCCCGTAACCCCTCACCCCATCCTCCGTAACCTCTTATCTCATCATCCGTCGTCCCTCACCCCATCCTCTGTACCGTCTTATCTCATCATCCGTCGTCCGTCACCCCATCCTCTGTACCCTCTTATCTCATCATCCGTCGTCCCTCACCCCATCCTCTGTACCGTCTTATCTCATCATCCGTCGTCCCTCACCCCATCCTCTGTAACCTCTTATCCCATCATCCGTCGTCCGTCTCCCCATCCTCCGTAACCTCTTATCTCATCATCCGTCGTCCCTCACCCCGTCCTCTGTACCCTCTTATCTCATCATCCGTCGTCCCTCACCCCATCCTCTGTACCGTCTTATCTCATCATCCGTCGTCCGTCTTCCCATCCTCTGTAACCTCTTATCTCATCACCCGTCGTCCGTCTCCCCATCCTCCGTAACCTCTTATCTCATCATCCGTCGTCCCATCACGTCCGTCTTCCCATCCCCGTCCTCTGTATCACCCCGTCTTATCTCATCATCCGTCGTCTCCTCACCCCATCCCGTCTGTATCCTCTGTACCCTCTTATCTCATCATCCGTCGTCCCTCACCCCATCCTCCGTAACCTCTTATCTCATCACCCGTCGTCCCTCACCCCATCCTCTGTACCGCTTATCTCATCATCCGTCATCCCTCACCCCATCTTCTGTACCCTCTTATCTCATCATCCGTCGTCCATCTCCCCATCCTCTGTACCTCTTATCTCATCATCCGTCGTCCCTCACTCCATCCTCTGTACAGTCTTATCTCATCATCCGTCGTCCCTCACCCCGTCCTCTGTACCGTCTTATCTCATCATCCGTCGTCCCTCACCCCATCCTCTGTACCCTCTTATCTCATCATCCGTCGTCCCTCACCCCATCCTCTGTAACCTCTTATCTCATCATCCGTCGTCCCTCACCCCATCCTCTGTACCCTCTTATCTCATCATCCGTCGTCCCTCACCCCATCCTCTGTACCTCTTATCTCATCATCCGTCGTCCCTCACCCCATCCTCTGTAACCTCTTATCTCATCACCCGTCGTCCCTCACCCCATCCTCTGTACCTCCTTATCTCATCATCCGTCGTCCCTCACCCCATCCTCTGTACCTCTTATCTCATCATCCGTCGTCCCTCACCCAATCCTCTCTGTACCTCTTATCTCATCATCCGTCGTCCCTCACCCAATCCTCTGTACCCTCTTATCTCATCATCTGTCGTCCCTCACCCCATCCTCCGTAACCTCTTATCTCATCATCCGTGGTCCCAAACCCAATCCTCTGTACCCTCTTATCTCATCATCCGTCGTCCCTCACCCAATCCTCTGTACCCTCTTATCTCATCATCCGTCGTCCATCACCCCATCCTCTGTACCCTCTTATCTCATCATCCGTCGTCCGTCTCCCCATCCTCCGTAACCTCTTATCTCATCATCCGTCGTCCCTCACCCAATCCTCTGTACCCTCTTATCTCATCATCTGTCGTCCATCACCCCATCCTCCGTACCCTCTTATCTCATCATCCGTCGTCCCTCACCCCATCCTCTGTACCCTCTTATCTCATCATCCGTCGCCCATCACCCAATCCTCTGTACCCTCTTATCTCATCATCCGTCGCCCATCACCCAATCCTCTGTACCCTCTTATCTCATCATCCGTCGCCCCTCACCCCATCCTCTGTACCTCTTATCTCATCATCCGTCGCCCCTCACCCAATCCTCTGTACCCTCTTATCTCATCATCCGTCGTCCCTCACCCCATCCTCTGTACCTCTTATCTCATCATCCGTCGCCCCTCACCCCATCCTCTGTACCCTCTTATCTCATCATCCGTCGCCCCTCACCCCATCCTCTGTACCTCTTATCTCATCATCCGTCGCCCCTCATCCCATCGTTTAGTCTCTGAACACTGTGGTGGAAACAAATAATTCCTTATAAACTGAAAAGGCGCCCCAGTGAGTTGGGAGAATCTGAACCTGAGGAAATCTAGACTTGCTTCAGTTAGACCTTTAGAATTGCAAAATGGGCTGTGGAAAGGTAAATAATGTGGTTCAGGGACTGTGACACAGTCTACCGCTATCCATGCACAAACAGATGTCTGACTCCACCTTCCATACTTGTCCAACCGCCATCCGCTCGGCCA